GAGAACATGGACAACTACCTGCGCGCTTTAGGTAACTCCATCCTCCTCATACCGGCCCGTCCTCCCCTATTTGGTCCCTTCTGTCTCCAAAAATGTCAGAAGTCGGGAAGGGAAGAAATTTGGGAAAATCCTTCTGGTCCTTCTGTCTTCGACTGTCACTTCTGGGCTGTGGTGGGAAGGGAGAAGGGACGTCCTATGACTGGGGCTCCCTGGCTAGGCGTGGAGGAGTTCTGTTGGATGCAGCTAGAGGAGGGAGACCAGGTAGTCCACAGATGTCCCCTTCTTCTCACTCTCCAGATATCAATGTGGTCCTGCGAAAACTGGTTTGCCTCCTGAAGCCTGATAAAGAGATAATCCACACGGGAGATCACATGGTCATCCGCACAATCACCTCCCTGCGGGACTATGTAATGGATTTTGACCTGGGAGTCCAATTTGAGGAAGATCTGGGACCTGTGGATGGACGGAAGTGCCAGGTGAGAAGCCCAAGCAGTGCAGTGTGACAGTGGACTAGAGCACACTAGAAGTTCAGGGACTTGCTCAGATTTTGATTCCTGAACCAGGTGAGAGCCCAGCCCAGATCTGGCATGCCCCTGCAGGTCCAGGAATAAGTGGATCTATGAGTAAATCACTCACAGCAAAGGGGATGAGCACCATACAGCCAGAAACCCAGTACTTTGGGATCCAGAGGATAGTACCCTCTGGAGCAAAGCCTTGGAAAGACACAGCATCAGCCCACTTGGTAGTACCTTTGCTGCACTTGGCGACCAGAGGGTCACTCTCTTATACCAGGAAAGGCTGAGAGAGCTGGGTCTGTTTAGCCTGGAGGAGATTGAGAGGGATCTCATTAATGCTTATCAATATCTAAAGGGTGAGTGTCAGGAGGACGGGACCAAGATCTTCTCGGTTGTCCCCAGCAACAGGACAAGGGGCAATGGTCACAAACTGGAACACAGGAGGTTCAACCTAAACATAAGGAAAAACTTCTTTACTGTGAGGGTACCAAAGCACTGGAACAGGATGCCCAGAGAGGTTGTGGAGTCTCCTTCTCTGGAGACATCCAAAACCCGCCTGGATGTGTTTCTATGTGATCTTCTCTAGGTGATTTTGCTCTAGCAAGGAGGTTGGACTGGATGGTCTTCAGAGGTCCCTTCCAACCCCTACCATTCTGTGTTACACCTCCCACAAAGAGCATCAGTCCCAAGGAGTCACCAGAGTCACCAAATGAGGGATTGCCTTTGAAAATGTGTCTGACGGAAACAGTCAGCATCACCACTGGAAACGTGTATTGCCAGAACCTGCTTGTCTTGAGACCACAGTCTCTCCTGTTTTTTTCAGACAACTGTGTCCTGGGAGGGGGATCAGCTGGTGTGTGAGCAACTTGGAGAGAAGAGGAACCGAGGCTGGAGGCACTGGCTGGAGGGGGACCAGCTGCATCTGGTGAGAAGGGGTCCAGTGCAGCTTGCTAAATCCCAGTTGCAGTGGTCAGGGGGTGAACAGGACACACACACAGCACTGGTGCTGCGGGATCTGAGGCAGCCGTGCAGCTTCCTTCCAGCTCCTCTCAGACTTCAGCCCCGGCTCCTTGGGAGGGCAGTCACCACTTCACACAAACATCCGCCTCCAGGGTTTAAAAGTTAACGGGGCTCACTCAGCAAAGCCCATGGCCCTGCCTTGCCCGGCAGCCCGACCCCCTGGGACTTCGGGAGGGTCGGGAAAGACTTTGGGAGGGTCGGGAAGGGCCTGCGAGACTCCAGCCTCACCGGGAGGGCAGGCAGGGCTGCTTGGGGTGGAATAAGCTCGGGGAGAGGTGAGGAGAAGATGTAAAGGGATTCGGGCTAAACTTCTCTTCCGCACCCCTTTCCCCAGCGTATGACCGCTGAAGACGAGGTCTGTGTCCAAGTTTTCCAGAAAGTGAAGTGATGCCGGTGCGGGACCCTCCCTCTCGAGTGCAAACTTGCTCCGGATTCGAAAAAAGAAACAAGACCCGAGTGAGCGGAGCCCCTACACCCCCCCTCCACCGTTTCAGCGTGTTTTGTTCTGCCTCTCGCCCAGCAGCGGCCGGG